ATATTTATTAAAGAATAATTACAAATTTATTACTTCCTCCTCATCTTATAATTCATTTTCTATTTCAAAACTTTTCCAACAACTCCTAATAAACTACATACCTACAATGATAAATGTTCTCAGATCAATCCCACAAATCCTAAAGCTCCTACCATAAAAACATTGTCATCCTATGTTTAACTAGCAACCATATATATTAAAGTGATGTCATTATATGTCCTCCCATCTTGTTGGGACAACATCTTAATATCCCTTTCTGTGCATTGCAATAGTTCCAGGTAACAAATAGCTTTCTCGTCCCAAAATATTACTAAAGCTATCTAGACAATTTTGTCCTACAACTATCATTTTCAAAAGAGTTACTTATTAAGCATGCATACTCTAACCCATACCAATTCATAATATAGCTTCCTAATTTATAATTCAGACAAAATATTATCATTTATGATAAAATCTTCAATTTCCATAGATTTCACAATATAATGTAGTTAAGGATTTTAGAAAGTATTAAGCTCAAAGGTATTGAGATAAATTTTAAGTTCTAGGTATAAGAATAAGTACTTAATAGAACATTTCTATGTTAGTTTACGTAAAATTAAATATATTTTTTAAAATAAAATAAAATAGTAAAACTAAATAGATAGCAATAAAGATATCACTACAAAAAAAATGTGATTTCGTCGAAAACAATAATTTTCTATCGATAATTGATAATTTTTGACGGCTTACTGATGATAAAAAAATTGTCATAATTTTGTTGTCAGGAACTATTATTGACGGGTACTGGCCTTCGGTAATTATCGACGAAGAAATCTTTCGGCAATTACTGGTGGACAAATCCTTCGATAATTAACAGTGGACAAATCCTTCAGTAATCATCAACGAATATGTCCATTGGTAATTATCAAAGGATTTGGTCATTAGTAAATTTGTTGGTAAGTGTGTGGTAGAGTTAAATGCAATATGTATTGTTTATCTACCCCACATTCATATAATCAGACCTGCACAAAACAATATGCAATGTCTATCTAAACGATCAGACTTGTAAGTAAGACAATATTTAATCCACAATTATCCAATAAGACTTCCACGTATTGAAGTACAAAATATAAATTTCATGTTGTTATATATTAATGACAATCCAACCAAACAAATTCATATAGGCAAAGAAAGTGAATATTTTATAAAACCTAAAAATCATGAAACACAATAATAAGTGTAGAAAAGTATGTGTTCATAAAACTAAAAAGCTAACAGTCTAAATAATCATCATCTTCATTTTCTTCTTCTTGTAATCATCATCAATAGCCTGTAAAGAAAATAGCAACAACACTCTATACAAAAGAACACAAGTTGAAACACCAATTTCTACTCCAATAATTGATCCCCAGACAAACAAAAACCTGAATTTCCACAAATACAAGAAAGGATAACAGTAGTAGTACTATGTTGGGTGATTTCGGCAATTGCACCGAATCGATTCAAGTAATAAACCATGGTAAGACCAAGTATCATTTTCCCAAGAGACTCATAATACTATAGAATTGTGGGATTAACAACTCATCTAGACTCAATAGAACAACATTCATTTACAAGCATGTGCAAAGAGATAAATTCACAAATATACAATGGTTGGACTTTGGTCATTAAAGGCACTTAGATATGGACAAGACTAGAAATGGTATGAAATGACATTGCTAAGGTTAGTTTTCACCTATTTCACTCTTGTGCCTACCCAATTTCATCTCCTCTCCATCAATTTACTAAAGTCAATCTACAAGAACACTCTAGCCCTAATCCCTTAGGTGGAAGAGCCTAGGTTTTCCCTATTAAACTCCAATTCCTTGAAAAATCTAACAAACATACCCGCATTAAAGAGTTAGGATCTTACGACAACATGTGAATCATCTTCCATCCCTAGAATCAATGACCACAAGGACTCTTGTTTCAGTTCAAGGTTCCATCTTACGTCCCCATAATCCATGAAACCCCAAATTCAAGTCATGAACATTCCTATTACATGTAAGCTTTAAGATTGGAAACAAGAATACTAGCAATTGATAGAAAAGTCATATATATAATCAAATCAATCATCCATTATATAAGAATTCATAGGCTACAACAATCCCTAACAAGATGAATCTGGTTCTCCACTTCCATGGAGAACCCTAAAGCTTACAAAATGGAAGATGGAAGAAGAAGGAGACCCAATGGAAGAGAAGGAGATGTTCCCACAAGCTCCTCACGGCCTCCATGAGCTCCAACAGTGAAATTGCGCCTCCAAAGAACCAAAGACCCAAAGCCCTTCGCGTTTCTGAGTTAAATAGACAAATCTTCCATGTCAGCAAAAAATGGTGCTCTAGCCCCCCTATGTGAGGGGCGCCCCAACGCGCGACAATCATGATGAAGTGGCGCTCCAGCGCGCTTGACCCAGGGGGGCCCCAACTAGGTTCAGCAACACTGCTTCTTTTTCTGGTTTTTCTGCAGATTTGCTTGCTTTTTGTGGCTGGTTCAGTTCTCTACATTGTTGGAGATTCTTCTAAGCATATTATTAGCTACAAAATAAAGGGATTATAAATGAAATTACATCAAAGTAGCCCACAACACAATTACTCATAAAACTACGATAAAAGAGAGCATTAAGCAAGTTACAAGTTAGAAAAGAGTTGATTTTGCTACTAAATTCATGCTTAGAGAATGGTAAGAATTAGCATTATCATACTACCTGCTTTCCAAGGATGGGAAGATCGATTTGTCAATCTCCATGAGCTTTCTGAAGATTTTGGAATAGGAAAGAAGTGGAGTCGATGTGGATGCCTCCGTTGGCTCCCATGCAAGACCCGTTCAGAGAGTATCCACGCTTGAGAGGGTTTAATTTTGACAGCGATAACCTCGAAGGCCAAGTCAGACTCTTTGATGCAAAGAGGTTCAACATGTTTTCACGTTGTGTGTCGCCACCTCGTCTGCAAAGCGACATCGTGTCGAGCCAAATTGGGAGCGAAGAAAAAAAAGGTGAGCTTGTGAGTTAGTTTCTTAGTTCAGCTGAGTTGAAAGATGAACTAAATTTACCATGATCAAAGTTTAAAAGAGTTAACTTGAACTTCAGAACAAATCCATCTAAACGGAAAATTCAATAAATCTCATAAAATCTTTCGTTAGATTTCAAGATTCGATTAAAAAAAATCTTTCATCAAATTTTGAAATTTAATGAACCACAAAAAATGGAATTAAGATTTTATAAATTGTAAAAAATAATTTCAGTTTTTTAGAAAAAAAAATTGAAATTACAAGTGAAATGATAAAAGGTGTAGAATGAAATAGCCAATCTCGAAAGTCAAGTTGAATCTCTCCTATCTATGAACAATATAATTTAAAAATAAAGCTTTATCTTATGAAATTAATTTATTTTATCAAACAAAAAATTTTAAATTCAAAATATTTCGTTAACTTTATCTAAACAAAGTATTTAATAAAAAATTAATTATAAGTAATTCAAATGCCTTATATTTTATTTTCTTGAAATTATTAAAACTCTTTATCAAAAACAAGGTTAAGTTATGATAAAAAGGTAAAATAATTCTAAAAAATTATATTAATTACTTTACAAATTAATAGCAAGAAGCATTAGATATACTAAAGCACACTTGTGAAAGTTAAAAGAAGACACAACCAATAAAATAAGTCAACAAGAACATATTCTCCCTGAGTATGACCTTTAAGGTAAATAAGGATATCAAACACAACACAAAACTTTTTCTTCTAGAATATTTTGTTTCTCAAGCAATTATTATACTATAACTATATGTTAAATGCAAGAGCAACAGTGATGTCCCCTTTTTTTAACACAATAATGCGATTAAACACATTGTTGAATCACCAAAAACAAAGACAAATACGATAATATGGCTAAAACCATTCATATTTCAGAAGCAAACAACAAAACCGAAAAAAAGTAAGAAAATAAAGTTAAGAATTTAAGTTTCATTAGAAAATATAAACAAACCATTTTTGTAGAGAATATTATTAAATGAGATGTTTTAATTTGATGAAACACAGAATTTTAAATGGATTAAAAAGACTGGAATTGAGCGATTTTAATTAAAAATAAAAAAAACGATATATTAAGATAGCAAAAAAAAAAATGTTCAAGTCAAATTATCTTAATCTATTCAAATTGAATTTTAATAAAAATATCTGAAAAATCACTAAAAATTTAAACTTATAGTTTTAATAGATTAAAATCATAAAACAATAAATTTCGACGCTCAAATTCATTCGGGTTTAGTGGGGTTAACCTTGTTTTCTTCTTAATGGGCTTTTATCCAATAATTCAACGGGGAAATGTCTTTCTGCACCCCATAAAATCTCCAATTTCTAAAGTACTCCTCATTAAAAATATAATAAAATCTGCACTCAATCATCTTCAATGTAACAAACATTTTCACCCCTCTCCATCCATCATTCATCTTCCTTTTACACACCTCCATATCCACTCTTTCCACCACACAAAAATCAATGACAGCATAACAAAGAGAAGAAAAACACAGACCTTTCACGGAGAACATTAGGAGGTAGAGAGAACTAGAGGGAAGGGAAAATGATTAGGTTATCTAATTTGGGATTTTTAACGAGGGTAAAATTGAATTATTAGATTTTTTAAGGGGTTTCAAGAAGAAAAAAGGGAGATGCAGGAAAAAATGCCCGTTTGCAAGAAGGTCTACTACATAGAGGGTGACAAACTCAATACACCTAATAAATTTTATTTTAAATTAATTATAATGAATTAATCAGACAGAAGATATTTATTAATTCATTTTCTTCTATAAAAAATTTGATCTATTTAAAATTCATAAACAGTTTTTAGTAGATGGGAAATCATCCATAAATATAATATCTTAAAAAATAAATTTTAAAAATTTTGCAAACAAATTTTAAAAAATATTTATGAAACCTTAACGAAAAGGTTTCAAACTGTTTATAAACCATGAACCAAACCATAATTGAAGTACAGCAAATTACACCAATCTATCAAACAATATAAAGGAATTTACAATGATTCATTGACAATGTGAGAAAACAAAAACTAATCAAACATTTTCATCGGAGGCAACTGATACTATAGACCTATTAGATCTTCCAGAAGGTTCTTTCTCCAAATCCAAATATTTAGTAACTAAAGTCTTTTCACAAATATCTACTACATCCCCTGAATGAGTAGCTAAAGCCTTTCCTGAAACGTCTTTCTCCATACAATGAGCGATCAAAGCTTTTACAATCTGACGAAATTTCCTTCTGTATGTTGGCAGCTTTGATACTCCTCTTATCATTCCAATCATCCTGATTCAACATTGCACACTCATCACTCAAAGTCATTAACAACTTAATCAAAATATATTCTTATCATGTATAGTAAGATTTGTTATTTTTATCTTCATAGAGTGAAAAGACACCATCAACAACATTTTACTCATTGATCACTAACCTTCTGGAAATTCCCTCCATTTGGGCAGCTTTAAGAGCATCAGGTGTCATTACACCACCGTTATCCCAAGCCTCCTGGCGTTGCTTGTTGAATCCAAAGAGAACTATTTTTTCCAAGTATCTCACTTCAGCTTCTCCCAATTTGATTACCCTTATCTGTTCCTTCAGAACCATCACAGGATTGAAGAACCAGTCCAGCAACTTGTCCTTTGGCCTGTTTAAATAGGTAATCTCAAAGTCCTCAAGCAGCAAAACACCACTTGAATTGGCTTTGATGGAGAAGATAAGTGCTTGTAGGAGTGAATAACAAGGCAAGCCAACACCAACTATGGAAGCTTCATTTATATTCTTGCCCCTCATCCATTCACAGAGGTCAGCACCTGTAAGTACATTATCATCCAATAATTCCTTGCCTCTCATCTCACAGTACTTCATCATATTTCCCCAAATCTGTATATTATGATTTAAAAACAACATTAGAGGTTGTTTCTAGATCAAATAATAATAATAATAAAAAAAAAGTGGCAGCACACTCTATAGTTACTTAAATTTATTGAAAACTACAAAATCATTACAGACATTTGTTATAAGAGCCTCACAAAATTTTGCGATTTCTAATAAATTTTTAAACATCAACAAAGATTTCTAATAAATTTATTGATACCTTGTTTTTTGTTTTGCTGTTTATAATTATTATAAAATCATTTAACAAGGGTCTTCATTACCCCTAACATGCGCCAAAGAGCCTATTCATTTCTTGGTTTGACTTTGGCAGGCAGCATCAATGCAGCTAATTTGTAATCTAAGCATAATAACATTTTTGATCCAAACTTACAGTTTCTATATAAAGTGGCATGGCTGGAGAGTCTATTTGCCAATGTTTTAAACTAATCTAATCAACATTAGATGAAAAACTGCTTACCTGCACCATTTTCACCTCTTGAATGGTCTCTCTAACAGATCTTGAAGGAGCTAAGTTTGGCATAAACATTGCAGGCGGGTCCATCGAAGTATTTAATCTGCTTCCACCCACACTGGATCCTCTCACAGAAAACTCCGATGATTGAGAGGCTTTTCTCTTTCGATATTGGGGCCTGGCTGCAAGCAAATTGAATGCTGATGTTAACGGATTAAATGGCAGATAGTAAAGAAGACTAATTGGGAAAATGTGTACTTTGGTAAGAATGTCCCCTCCCGTAGATAGAGCCAATCATTTGTATATTCGTCAAATTCAGCAACCATAGCAATCATATAGGCTAAACCTCTACGGAAAGATCTTTCCTACACTCACAGGAAAGTTAAAAGGTGAGATAAAAGCAAAGATTCAGCAAAGGAAACAGGGAATGAAGAACAAAAAAAGTGATCAAACCTGACATACTATAGCAGCTGCATAAATTCCAAAAAAAATGCTTGATATAATAGCCAATAATACGCTGGCAAGGACAACTAGTGGCCACACAAATATTGTCAAACCAGCAATGGGGACACAGACTGTTTCAAGGAATGGACCCTCTCTGCTAATCAAATCATGCAAAAGTCTGAACCAGCCCTTGAACAGCATGTAGGGGCTCTTTACTATAGCAATTGCAGTGAAAAGAGGAATCTCCACAACTAGCCCCAGTATCCCAACAATGACACATCCAGGAACATGAATTAACCTATAAAACAAGTTTCAATGGTGATAAAGAGTACTCCTTTAATTAAATATTTTGCAGACAGAAATTGCAAGTCAAAGCATTCAATCAATAAAAAGAACATATATGAAAATGAAAGACTGAGATAAAGAGGACATATATATGAAAGACTTTTTTTGTATTACTGTTATTCAATAAAAAAACCACTCTAACTCGTATCAGTCTATAAATCTTTTACAATACTTACATCAAAATTAAATTTATGACCTTTACCTTAGCCTCTGACGCTCATCTGAGGTAGGTGATTCACGTAGTTCCTTTAAGAAACTTGGGTATGAATGGTAACACATATCTGCAAAATCCCTAACCACCGTGGAACTGCCTTTGATAGTTCCATACGTTCCATCCTGAGTTCAATGAGAATCCACAAATGAACTAATAACTTATACGCTAAGTAAAAACATGCTAATAAAATTTAACAAACAATCTTGATAAGTGCAAGAACATATCAGAAACTCACCACAATACAGTGAGAAAATTTCTTGGACTCGTTATCATGTCTGAAGGCCTCAAAAGTTGAAACCCAAGGGGTAAAGAAACCATACCCCACTCCAACAAGAACGCTTCCCGCTATGCCTAGACCCAACCACAAGCAAAACAAGGCAGGCAAAGCAATCAAAATGGCGACTTTCAAGGCTGCATCAAACATCTGAACCCTACAAAGACAAACAAATCATCCTCGTTCATCATATGAAATAGAATTGCTGATTGAAATTCTTCAAAGCAAAAAAGGAAGCTGTACAAATTATTTTACTTAAAAAGGGTGTAAACAGTCCAAGCCACATGTGAAGGAAACAGCGCCAAAATCACCCCAACGTTGCCTAAAATAAGAACCAGACAAGCAATAGGACCCACGACTATGCCTGCAGAACTTAAAGAAAAATTCAATAACCCACCATCCAAATTCACCTCAGATTTCACAACATGAGAATAAATCAGAAAAAAGAAAAGAAAAAACCAAATCTTTTTAGAAGTCAACATTCAATCATGAACCACAAAGTGTGAAAAAAATGTAAAAGAAAAAAGAACACCTTTTAAAGCACCGAGAAAGAAAGCATAGAAGAACACAAAGACCACGTAAGAAGCTTTCATCCAAGCTTCCATAAAGCTTTGAAAATCCATGTTAGTAAAGGATCAGTTCAGGATCAGGAATACGTTTGCAAAAGAGGGAAGTTGAAAGTTGTAACCGAAATTGGAACGAGGCTTTGAAGGCATACAAAGAAAATGAATTGGCAAGTCATGGGAAATGAGGCGAGTTAGTTCAGTCAAAAACGAAATTGTATTAAAGGGCAAAATAGACTTGCGTTGCAAGAAGATGACAAAACTGAAAACTCAGCCAAGAACCAAATCATTTGTTCAAAATGTTTGCAACCAAAAAGTAATATAAGCACGGAAAAGCGAGGACAAATCAGAGGCGGCTGATGACTATGAATTATACACATAGTTTATGTTTCTGGAACTAATTTATACAAATAACAATAAGTGTCCAACTTTTCTTACTTTTTTGTAAACTATTATATTTTCCAGTAATTATTTAATGGTGTGTAACAGTTTTACTCGCAATTAATTTTCGTTTATTTTATTAACAAGACAATATATTGGAATTGCAGTCCAATTCATTGAATCAACTGGCAACGGAGGAACTAAAACACAACTAGTAAAAGCTTGTTATGTTGTGATGGTTGCAGTGCTTCCATGTTGCAAGAAATGGCGTCTTTCATTATATAACAAAATATGTATGGATATGTTGTTACTTTTTTCAAGAATTACCAAAACAAAAAGAAAAGAAAAATAAGGTTTAATCTTTCGGTAGGTTTTTATTTTTGTTCAAAATCTCAAATAAATCTCCTTTTTTTTCGGCATCTTAATTGGATTCTTATTTTTGTAAAATTGAATCAAATAGAGGCTTACCGTCAAATTATTTTTGTAAAATTGAATCAAATATAGGCTTGCCGTCAAATTGAAAAGACGTCATTAAGGAGAGTGTTATGTGGCATGCTGACATTATACATGTGTAAGGGAAGTTGGCATGCTGACACCCTGGTGGTCGGTCACTCGATTTGGTGGTCGGCCACTCAGTCTGGTGGTCGGCCTGATGGTCGACCTTGTATTTGGTCACTCAATATGGTGGTCCAGTCTAGTGATCGGCCTGATGGTCAGTCACTCGGTCTGATTGTTGGTTGGTCTTGTGAGTGGTCGGCCTGGTGGTGCCAATTCAACGAAGATTTATGAGAATTGGTCTATGAGAAACCAATTCAATGAAGATTTATGACTTGTTATAGTAGTAACATATGACTTGTTTAGTATCGTACGATCTCTTGGCACCATCAGGCCAACCACCAGGCCGAGTGGGCGACCACCAGACCGAGTGTCTGACCATTAGGCTGACCACCAGATTGAGTGGTCGACCACAAGACCGAGTGGCCGACCACCAGGGTGTCAACATGTTACGTCAACATGCCAACTTCCTTTACACATGTATACTATCAACATGTCACGTAACATCCTCCTTAACAACGTCTTTTCAATCTGACGGCAAGCCTCTATTCGATTCAATTTTACAAAATTAAGGATCCAATTGAGACAGCGAAAAAGAAAGGGACCTATTTGAGATTCTGGACGAAAATAAGGACCTACCGAAACATTAAACCAAAAAATAAACATTATCGAAAGTCAAAATCTGATAGAAATGTCAAAAATTTCAAAAGTAAAAGTATGGTTAGTATCATTTATTAACGAAAATTTATATTTGTCAATAATTATCGAAGAAAAAAATTATCAGTAACTAAAAGAAAAATCATCAATAATGATTAAAGAAATTTTTGTTCGATAAATACCAATCTTTTCAAGCTTAACCAATTCGATAGTTTGACCAGTCAACAACTTGGTTAATAAAAAACTGACAATAACTTGAAAGTGAAATTTATGGCTGAAAATCCTCATCACCTCTTTTCCAAAATCATGGACAAAGTATTGTAGGCATTCACGCTTTAGATTGATGATAAATGTAGTTGGAGAGTGTTGATGGTGAGTTTGCATTTAATGAGCATGGGCCTGAGAGAGAAGTTTGAGAAAGTCAAAGACATTAATGGTGAAGTGGACATTGTAGGCTTTGATGTCGAGAGAGAACTGCTCGAACTTAGAGATGGTGTATTCATTCTCATCAAGGAAGATGGTGCATCGCTGGTGGTTGAGTGCAACCAAAGCAGGGACTCATGGAGGAGCCCGAGCTTCAAATGTTGAGCTTCAAGCGTCGACCATCAAACTTTGAGCTTCAAATGCCGAGCTTTACACACAAGCTTCAAACACCAAATTTTAAATGTTGAGCTTTACAAATCGAGATTCAAATGTTGAGCTTCAGACCTTAAGTTTCAAACTTTAAACATCGAGTTTCAAACCAAGAATGCGATAGCAGCGACATGGTGGATGTCTGCTGAAGAGAGAAATCACCTTGTGGAGGTTTTTCGATTCACATCATGGAGGCACTAATGGCAAAAGTGAGATGCAGCGTTGGAGGATATGAGATCCATGAAGACGAAGAAGTTCACGTTGAGGAAGAAGAGGTAAAATGAGCGTTCACAACAAAGGCGACTTCATTTGAGTGAGGAAGGTGTGGTCACAAGCGAAGAGGTTTTTGTTTGTTGTTGAACATGGTCACAAACCTCTTTTGAGTGATGACATCTCGCAAAGGGGAAGGAGGAGGCAACATCTGACTTAGGGGTTGAAATTTTATTTAAGCAGAGATCTAGACAAAAATGAAGATGAAAGGTTCTATGTACCTGACAAGAAAATATGGATGGAGACTTTGTTGCTCTATTTACCGTTGCACTTAATTGACAAATTATTTTGTCGATAATATATATTTCATTTGTAGACAAATTTTATTGACACAAAAATCCATCGATAAATGAAATATGTATTACCGACAATTTTTTTCATTGATAACAAGTTTGTCGGTAATTCATAATTCATAATTCAAAATTAATCAATAACTTCAATAATTTTTATAATGAGAGAGAAGAAGTGTGCATACATAATAGATTTACACCAATAAAAATCTAAACAGATCTTGTGATAAAATCAAATAACAATAACAAGTTCTTATAGGTTTGATCGCCTAAAAGAAATAAGCAACATGATGACATAAAATAGACTAAATTTCATAACTTTTATAAAAGGGTAAGTTCCATGAGATTTTATTTGGTTACTTACTTTCTTGTTATAAAAGGAGCACAATATTTTCTTAGTTATAAAATTACTTCCATTTCTTTTTGCAATTGTTTTTGCTATTTTCAAGAAAAGTGTATGGTTTTTTTCTTTGGAGTCAGAAAGAAAGGTATTGTAATTTTAATTGCTTTAGTAAAAAATACATTATTATTTATTATTTGCTTGGTTCTTTTTTTCATCTTTTATTTTAATTTGAGTTCTTACGTTGTTACTATGCTACCTAAAACTAATACCAAAGTAATGTTTGTCTTAAAGTTTATAAACTTTTTGTCTTAAAAGTTTTTCACTTAAAAAAGTGTATATTGTTATAGAACGTTGTTACAAAATAAAAGTCATTACTAAGATATTTGTATTTAAATATTTTTTTTTCTTGAGATAGAAATGTTTCAACATAAAAGACACTCACACTTTGAAAAAGATTTTTAAAATTTTAAGTTGTAAGTTTTCCATTAAATTGAGATTGAGATGAGTAATATAAATAATATAAAAATAGAACATATTTATTATTTTTTAAGATTTTATATAAAACATATCGTTGTCAAAATTTTCCTACTAGAACAATCTAATCCTGTAACAAATATATCGTTGTCAAATTTTTATAGATTTTTCTAAACATGATTGGTAGAAATATAATTTGTTTTCAGATATTTTTTTAAAAAGCACTAAGGAAAAATGTTTTAATATTTGTATTTATATAGTAACTGTATTTTACAAAAACGCAAAATAATCTCAGCTTAAACATCTTCGTTTCATTTTTTTTTTCAAAAATAAAACATTAGCTTTGTAAAGAAAGTCAACGTCAAACATAGTTACATATCGTAAGGGCTTAACTAATACTAATATTAAAATGCCTTATTTAACGGATGGTTTCAGTTAATAAAGGTTTGTCGGCTTAAGTTTGGGGATTCCATCTTTGTTTGAATTTTTCTTCTTTTATTGGATTACATGTGTCTTTAATTTTTTGGAGTCTCATATTCCAAAAAAGGCAATTTAATTAGTTGAAAAAATACCCACAAATTTCAAACTTAATGAAAGTCAATTTTAATATAATATATATTTAAGAAAGGAAAATTAAAAAAATATATGACTCAGAATAAATTTCAAACCATATATTTAGAGAGGGTGATGGAAAATATATTACAATTTTACAAACATTTTTTCTTCGACCTCTATTACTTTAGGCATGATGAGACGTGCTTAAAGATGTAATCACGTTACAATCTATAAAATAATAATAATTCGGAAGATATAACTTTTGTGGTTTTTTGTCCTTTTACAACAATAATTCACATGCATAATTCAAGGTATGCAAAATGGGTCAAAGTCGTCAGAGTGTATTAGTTCTGTAACATCGTCATTTTTTTTTTAATTATATTATCGACGGAAACTACTTTATGACCTTATCTTGTTGACCTTTTATTAAATGAAGTAATTAAAAAGGCTCACCACCAACTTAATTAATGATTAATTTAGTTTAAAAAATTAAATTAATTATTAAGGAGACGAAGAATATATTGATATCTAGACCAATTTAACTCTACATACACATTACATTGTTTGTTAATTATTGTTTTTATAGTTGGTGAAGGTTAAGCATCACACATAACAATAAAATGAACAAATAAATGAAAACTATTTCTTATTATGGTTCTTTTTCGGGTTAAAAGGTTTATTGTTAAGTAAATTTTAAGGATTTGAATTTTAATCATTTTAAGCAATTTTATCTATTTTATTGTTTTTTACTTCCCACTGTCTTTTGACTTTTTATTTTTTTATTGTCTATTTTCAGTTTCTCTCATGATTATTAATCAATAATATAAATAAACGAAAGACTAATGGAGAATTTTTTTTTAAATGATGAAAAAAATTCAAAATTTGAAATATAACAATGACTAGAAACTTATTTTATTTTTAAACGATCAACGTCTAACTCAAGAGGGGGGGAAATGTATGACTGTGTATAAGTGTGTGGATAGCACATTTTTGTGAAAAACTCTCGATAGAATAATATAGACTGTATGTTACTAAAACATGCATTAGAAAGTTTTCTATTTGATTCATGCTTCGTGAATCTACATGACAAGTTGGTGTTCTTCAATATTCATAAAATGATGAACTCAAGCAACTAATGAACCTTAAAGGCAGTCTTACGGTGCGCATCTAATGACAATTAAGAATTATTTAAA